GTGAGCTACATGAAATCGCTGGGGCTTTGGCAAATATCCAGACAGTATCTTCATCCAAAATCTTATAGTAATTATACTTATCAAATGAATTACAGACAACTAAGTGAGAAAAATGTGAAAAACAAAAATGAAAACCTTGCTACTGTAGCTAGCACACCCAAGTTCAAAGAACTGTCCTTTTTTTTTTTGCATTAGATATGAGCACAAATTTCACACAGAGCAATGGCTCTTATTAGTGTGTCGTCATCAGCCCAAATGTGACACTCTACTGAGTTTACTATCACACACTCCAATCAAACACACCTCAAAATGCGACTTTATTTAGAAATAAGTCTTGTTTGGGTATTATAATTTGTATAATGAATACATGGATCATAATGAGGTTGTCATCATCAGTATGTGTTGGGCCCTGATCTCGTAGCTCGTGACCTTACAAGAAGAGGGAATTTTGTTCCAAGAACAGGAGACTGTCTTGTGATATCTGACGGTTGTTGTAAGCACAAGCCAAGGAATACCAAAGGCCTTTTCCCTGCTAAAGTCTGCCACAGAGGCGTAGGCAGAGTCCTCCTGATTTCTAAAGGCATTCCCACCACTGCGCTGATTTAAGACACCCAGCCTCCAAATCTGTAGGAGCGCATTCATCTGGTTAAGATGTTTGTCAAACAGGCCTAGAAAACTACAGCATTATCCATACTAATTAAGAAGCCAAATATGCAAAGAACATTCAACATTTGGAGCCACTATGCATTTAGCCAAAGTGACTTTGTTTTGGTGTTATGTAAAATAACTATAGGTATTAGTATAGTATTTAAAAATATTGTACTACTTATGGGATCTCTAGAGTTAAGACATATAGCTGAATTGCATGTGGGTGTTAGTCTAGCAAGAATTAAAAACTTACCACACAGATACATCAGTTAAACTTGGAGGAGGTTCCCTTCCAGCCTCGTGATCTTGAGGGACTGCCCACAGGAAACAAATGGAGTCCCTGACATAATCAGGAAGCAGGAATTGTGTGGATCCCTGTGAAAAGTGAACAGTCGCATTTAACATGAGACATAAAGACGATGGCACGCATTAGACAGCTCTCCCAAAATCACTAAGATATTTGACCTCACCACGGTGAGATTTGTGTCACCCTGTAGCAGACATTGATGCCATATGAAGGAGACTAGTGAAGACAGCCATGTTCCAGGTTGGCTAGACCGACACTCTTCAAACTCCATGGAATCCCCCACTTGCTTCAATTTTCATCTGAGTTTTGCTTTTTTTTTGAACGAAGATGTGGCCTCACATTCCCTGACAATTTGTTCATAACAGTGGTGACAATGTGACACTCTCCAGTGTGTCCCAGAAATACATGACGTAAGAATATAAATGCAAACATGCGAAAATGAAATCCCTCAGGTGGTTATTAAGTTTTGGTGCTGTGTAATTAAGCTAGTTTTTTTTCAAATGTTATTCTTTGCCGATATCTAATTAGCAGATCCATCTGCTGACGGAGCAGTGGCCCATCTGCCTGGGATGTTGTTCTCTTCATTGTTATGAAAAGCATCCGCCACTGCTAGTCCCCATCTAATTAACTTCTCTGCCTGTGGAATGTGATAATACACAACTCTGTTTATACACTTCTGAGGACTGGGGATTTATGTGTGTGTAACAAGTACATCAAAAGAGGCAATCTTTTTTCTTTCTAACATCTGACTTCCTCTTGAGATCACAGCTTCATTTGTCAGGGCTGGAGCATGTCCCTCTGCCCAGTCTACTGTGAAACAGTGGGAAGTTCCTTCCATCCTCGGGTTCCAAAAGTCTAAGAGTCGTGTTCTGTTGTTCTGGATGCTTCTTTATGGACGGAACTGTAGCACTGCAACTTGCCAAAGAGGGAGAATGCCCAATCATGTCAATGAGCTTGACCTGTGCCACCTTGAAGCTACCGTACCAGGAAAAGGGTCCACTTGGTGCTGTGTGGTCTGATCAACGATGCAGTAGACTCTTTTATTTCTAGTTCTGAAATGATTTTATTTAAAGATATTGAAAAAGATACTTTTAATTCAAATTAATACCTGATGTGACCAAATATTATCTTTCTTGTCCCATCAAATGTTATAGGACAGAAAGAATTCTACTCAGTAGATATTTAATAAATATTAAATGATGAAAGGGCTCTATGTAAAGAACTACAGCAAAACTTTTAAAACCGATTTAGTATCCCAGAAGTTATTTATGTGTCTCTACAGAAAAATGGGCTACATGCCCAAATCCTTAGTCTTTATAAATGTAGATTGATTTATCTACAAAATCGTTGATTCGCTGATTATTCAAATAACCACTATTATTGTTTTGTTTGCTTCTGACATGTTTAATAAGCTTGAAATGTTGGATAATAAAATATTCATGTTTCTTTTTTTCTCCTCTGGTTGAAAAGACAAAGGATAACAAAAACAAAACTTACGTTTTAAAAAAATATTGAAGAAGTAAGACTGAGTTGACTGAGATTGGAGATGTAAAAATTGCTTTTCATTTGTTTTGACTGACAGAAAAACAGATTTGTGTTGGTTTAAATGTAGCTAGAATGAACGTGAAGCTAAGTATATGGAACACTTCCTAAGTCAATTATGGGTTTTGCTCCAAAATAATGATACACATACAAATAGCCAGTCTCGGTGAGGCTGGGTATGGAGCTGGAGTGGAAGGCCTTTCATCAACAAGGATGGGCCCTTACAATAAAGGGCATGAGAACGGAACTCAAAGGGAGCTGAGCTTGAAGAGAAGAGCAGAACCTTTGAGAAGTCAAATCTAGTGCAAGACAATTCCACTAGCCCCTGTGGCTGTCTCCTGGGGCAGCGTGTTTTCATAGCTGCCAGAAGATCCACAAGGCAAAGTCTATTCTGGTGAATAAAGAGGAGGCTGCTGCTAGGTTAATCCGGAACTCTTGATTCTCATGTAAATCTAGAAAAGTCTCTTCCCAACTCCATATCTTATACAGCTCCGCAGTAGCTGACAATCTGTTTCTTTCGCTGTCTTCCCTGGGTAAATCCCCACCATTAGATTATAATTTCCTTTTCCTTCTGTTCGTGAGTAATAGGAAACTGTAGAAAGTTAAACGGTCATGGTTTTCAATTAATTCTGGATTTGAATGTGGCTGCCATGCTGGTGGTACAAAGTTGGAATGCCTCCAGAAGTTATTTGTCTACTTCAAATAAGAGGAAAGTTAGCTATGTACTGTTCTCCTATTGATCCAATAAACTTGTGTGAGCAATTGCTGCTTTTCAGTCTTCTGGACGAAGTAATAAAATATTTATGAAAACTCATTCTCTTTTTTTCCTATTTCTTCTCACTCCTGGTCCTTGGCCAATATTTATCTTGAAAATGTGAAGGCCACTTGAGCAGCAGGTAGAATTGGGCAGCTGTTTGTTTACTGGCAGCAGTGAGATCTATCTAACTTTGATGGCATTTGAATAATATTCTCCCTTAATCCTGGGGCTCACCCTGCTACTCAGACCTCTTATGTTTATTCAGGAGATTATTAATATTTTACTTTGTTCTTGCATTACTGTGCATTGAATCTCAGGTTTCCCACTTGGCAGGCAAAGGCTCCATCCTCAGCTCTCTGTTTTATGGCCCCACTAGGTCACCCAGGCTGAGCATAACTCGTCTACAGCCCAGGCAGACTTGAAACTCATGAGCCTTCCTTTCTAACTTACATCAGCATTTAAGGCATGGGTGTCTCTGTGTGTGCAAATGCATCAGATGGCTGCAGGTATACTTATGTGTTTGTATACATATGAATGTGTGTGTGTGCATGTGTGTGTGTCAGAGGAGTCCATCTTGGGTATCATTTCTCTGGTAACACCTACTTTGGTGGGTCTTGTTTCTTTTTCATCATGGTCTCTCACTTGTCTAAAACTCACTGATGAGACTAGACCATCTGGGTAGCAAGCTCCACAGCCCTTTCTGTCTCCACTTCCTCAAAGCTGGGCTCTCAGGCCTTCATATAGAGCACTTCACTAACATTTTAACTAACAGTGCCCTGACCATATCTTCTCCTGCATTTTGGAGAATTGAAAAACAGTTCTCTCTGGTGCACAGGGTGTAGAGGCAGTATTTTTCTGCTTATTATTGTATATTGGATTTAGTTTAGTTTATTATTTGAAATTTTCTGACCTAACAAGGTTGCTCCTCACATGTTTTCCTGACAATAACTTCACTGGTCCATAACTCTGAATCTTCAGAAATCTAATTTTGCTAGTTAGAAAACTATTACAACAAGAAGATATGAAAAAAAAGGAGAAATGCTTTCCATATAAAATTTCTCACAACACAAAATAGTAGGAAAAAACAATAGTTCCATGGCTAACCAGGTGTTAAGCGACTTGCAGACACGGCTTGTGGATCGCCTCTGTCTTGGGAACACCCACAATCATCTTATGTGTCCCAGGGTCTCTTTGCGGCTAGTGGTGCTCATACATTGCTCAACTTGGTCAGCATGGGGTAGATTTGAAAAGCTTGAAGAATATTCAACAGCATGGCTCTAAATAGAGCTAGTGACTGCATGGAGATGGGCAACAGTCACTGTGCACTGTGCACAAACCCATCAGACCCTTACTGTAGTGTCTATGGATACTGTGGTAGCTGGAACATGCACAGTCATCCTGGCATTATCCGTGTGTGTTGATGCATGACACACTGTAATCTGAGTGGTTCAGATCTTTTAAGCTGGTTGCTTACCCTGATTTTCCTCAAGTAATCAACCTTGTTTAACCAGTCACTGTACCTGAATGTCCTGCTACTTTGAATATGAATGGAAAAGTCTTTTAAATGTCTTAATTTTGAAGTTAAATGTGAGCCCATGACTTGTTATCCTGTATTTGATGTTAATTCTATACCACTGTGAAGGTGTTAGCACAAAGATGCGCCAATGATCTAATATAGCCACTGAGACCTTCCTATTTTCCCTCTTCTTCCAAAGCCCTAAAGTTTTGCCCGTGTTCTCTTTGCAGGCTGTGAAGTGGGAATGTGATGAAGCTACCAAGAAGGCCTGTTATAGCAAGGGCAAATCGAAGGTAAGGAAAACAGAGGGTATGGTACCCCACCCTGTGCTGGGAACTGCATATAAAATGTTAGGTAGCTGATAGGAGGAATCCCTGCAAAGTGGGACACGCATGAAGAGTAAATGTTTTGTGTTTTGACGTTCAGTAGAAATGAGTCACAGCAAACAGTCACTTCAAGAAAGATCAGAAAGTAAACTAAGACCTAATGGGTACTTTGAATCATTATATAAGATTCAAAATAAACTCGCTATGATGCTGTTAGAAAAATATAAGAAATAATTTTAAAATAGTATTTAGTTTGTCTCTTCTATATTTTGCAGCTAACTACAGAGAACAGTTATGTAGTTGCATTATCTTGTTCCTACAAAACAAATATTCAACACTTGCCCGATAAAAGCTCTGCACCAGAATGATACGAGATGCAATCTTGATGGTCTTTGCAAATCCTTGTGATTTGCTCTATCTCCATCAATGCTGAAATCTACACTCCCAAATTCTCCTTAAAAAAAACCACTGAGGTTGGGGTGCATGCTAGTACTCACACACGATGCTTTCAAACAATTTGGGGTTGGCTACACACACAGGACTTTATCTTTCCAGGAACTCTGTCTTCAGGAAAGGTGAACTTTGTTCCCTGTGGAGTTTCCCTTGCAGCTGTTCTCCAGCGCAGTGAGCCCTGGAAAGTCTGCGAACCAACAGAGGCAGAACACACTGGTAGAAAGAGGAGAGTGTAGACTTTTCTAATGCTGACTGCACTTTGGTCCGTGGGGAAATGCCCATACAGGCGGCATGGACAGAAGCGGCTGGCAGAGCAGCATTGGCCTCAGGGCCACGAGCATGCGGGACAATACAGCACATGGAGTGGGCAGGAGCAAGGGGCTCTCAACTGTGTGTTGATAACAGTGTGACTGTCTGTCTTGCTCCCTGTCCCTTAGGAGAATTGGACGACGAAGCAGATCTCAGCAGTGTAGAAGGAGAGAGGTGATAATAAGCTTAGCTAAGCAGAAATACATGGCTGCAGAAAGGAAGGGAAGGGTGAGAGAAAGAGGGAGCGAAAGAAGGAAGAGAAGGGGAGGGAGGAGAGGAAAGAATGCAGAAATTGATAGACCTTGTTTACCAAAAGATATTTAATCATCAGAAATACCTCTGAGCTAAATCATTAAAAATTTACAAAACTACACTAGCAGCTCCAGGTTGCAAAGGACCGGAATATGAAATTCTTGCAAATAAATGAGTGTATAATGATATAAATAAAAAAATAGTAGAGAACTCTCTAACTTGCTTGGTGAGTTCTGTAAAACATAGCAAGGTTGGGAGATGTGACTTCTCCATGGCTGTTGGCTCTCTGGGATGTTGCTACTCAATCATTGGATACATCTGAGCACTCTTATTTATCCCTGCCAGCCAGGCATCCAGAGTAAGTATGCTCCATTCCCTTGTGTGGTTTTTCCTGAGGAGCCGCGAACAAACATCTGTTCACCCTAGACAGAGAATCATCAGCAGACAGAAGAAATGATCCCACCCAAATTGTACTTGGCGAACCAGTCACTGTATTGAGGTTGCCTTTGGGAGCACAAGTGAGAGGTTATGTACTAGTGAGGAATCACGAATAGGGAAGGTTGCAATCTCCAGTATTTAGGTACCTTCTCCTAAAGGTCCCTAAAACTCCCTAAAAATCCTGAGCAGTAAACAGAGAGAGACCAGTTATACAATTACACAGGGTGGGGATAATGATAGGGAAATAGCTTGGCTCACTGCTCAGGAGTGGACACACTGGGCTCTCAGGGCTTCAGCTTCAACACTGTAACACAGTGCCTGCCTGGTGACATAGTTATTTTCCAGAAGGCCTAGGCACTAGCTGGTAAGCTGGCTGCTCTTTCTCCCCATTGGGCTACCCCTTTCCCCTTCTCCCCTTTCCTTTTTATTTTCTCTTCGCTATTGGCCAGTTTCTCTTCTTTTCTTATTTCCTGTTACTGTGGTTGCACTGGTTAACAGGTGCCCTACAATGGAGTCTGTGTCTGTAACTTTGGTTTTTGTTTTAGATTTTGCTAACCTCAGACCTGAGAATCGCCCCTGCTCCCCCTCCTCAATACTGTCCTTACTGCTCATGAGAATCTTATTCTCTCTTCTTAAACTGCTATTGGCGTGAGTACTGTTCCCAGCATGCTTTGCTCAGTTCTTAGGGCACAGCCGATGTGTTCCAACCCTCCTTCTATCCGTTATCCATCTTGGAAAGCCCTGTAGGCTTCTGTCTTTGCCTCATGATGCTGTGCTAATCATCCAATGCCTGACCATGAGCTGTGCCAATGGTTTCTTTATGGCTGTGGTGCCCATCTGCAGCCCTCTGGCACACAGGGTGGAGGTTGCCAGTCCTGTATGAGTGATGAGCACACTAAGCCCACTCCAGTGGGTCTCATTCAGTTGACCATCCTCACCACTTTAGATGGTGGGGGCAGGAAGTATTTTCAAGGAGTCTTTTTCTTACATGCGGTCTGTTTAGCAGCTCACCTGCCTCTGCCCTTCATGGCAGGGCAACCCAATACAACCAAATTTACTCCAGACATTCCCAGGGAATTGGTGACTTAATTTATCAAATGATTTATGCATTGTTAATTTTTACATTGCTCAATTTTTTAATCCCTCGGAGTATTTTTTTTTTTATTTTACCAGGAACCTATTAGTATATTTGGTTCCCAGACTTTGGAGAATGCTAACAGTTAATTCTATTCCCCTTCCCGGAGTTCCAACTCTTTGTGGTCCTTGTGTGTTAGGAGAGAATACCAAGACCTGCATGGTCATCCAGTTTTCTCTCAGCATAGGCTACAAGTCCTTAATCAGAGTGTGCAGGTGGCTTCATTTCCTAGCTTGTTGTCACTACTGTGGAAATTGCTCAGCTGAATCCAGCAACCCACATCCCACCTCAAGTGGTGACCTTTTGTTAATTTCTTATTTAGAAACTAATTTGATAGACTAATATCATCCATGGCCATTATGTAATACACCCCCCTGATCCAAGAAGGAACAAACTGCCAATACACAAAATTGAGTTTCTCTAATACAAATAAGGAAAATGAGGAAAGAAATGTCCTCACATCAAATCATCCCTCTATAGTTCGTATGATTTGGGTTTTTAATGGACTAAGAATAATGGCAAATCTTGGTAATTATAAGTTAATTTCAACTGTGTTTGTTCACCCTTAAGATTAATGTATTAAAATAAATGAAGATAAATTTCACACACCATATATTGTGTGCAAGATAAATCAAATTTTATTTTAGGTTGTAGTAAATATGATTATTAGTTTACCCAGAGTTTTAAAATGCAGTGTTCCATTGAACTAGTATTCAGTTTATGGAGTCGCTTGTTGAGCTGATTTCTGCCTATAATTCTAATTCCTGGGGAAGCTGATTCAAGGAATCACTAGAGTCCCAGAGATTGAGGACAGCCTGGTGTAACAGTGAGACCCTGTCTCAAAATCAAAACAGAATAAAGTAGAAGATCAGGTACTGTGCACTGTAAAAACTCATGTTTACCAAGTGAGTTGCTAGCTTCACTAACCTGTTAGGATAGATAACACTGTAGCCTGGCCAAGGAGGTGAGAACAAATAATACCTTACCCTAACTACCTTCCCAAAATCCTCTTTCCTTAATTCCCATCTCTTTTCTTTCCTCACCTGGGCATTGGCATATTTCCCACCCAGTGGGGAACCCAAGCCTAGCACCTGGGACACATAAAAGGAAGAGAATAAGACAGCTTCTGAGAAAGCACCCCAAGAGAGGTGGCCATGGGCAGGCCCTCCACTCAGATTTCAGACATCCTGAAGATCCCCAGACTGACAACACTGAGAATCCAAATCAAGTAACATTTCAATGTGGCCAGAATAGTGTCTCTTTGGAGGGATGGAATTCACACTTTTCTTGGTGGTCATGAATTTATAAGGAAAATTCAGATACTTACTAAATTTGCTCATGCTGTAGTATTCTGAGAATGTGCACAGAATTACAAAGTCTCTCTTCTCCCTACAGTAGAAAGAACAATGCAAAAATGTGACATTTTAAAAATGCAAGCAATTCAGGCGTTTTTAACTGAACTCAGTTCTTTTCTACTGTCCCCAAAAGCTGTGTGTGCCATACAGTACAATGCATTTCACTGCCCAGCCATTAAGTTGTGGTGTGTGGAAGGAGGTGGTTGATCCTACATCACGGCTTCTTCCCGCACCCACTTCTCTGGTGAGAACATTCCTCAGCTGGCTACAGAGCTCGGGATTCCTCCCCTGGTGTTCCTGGGTCAAGGAAAAGCATTCTTTCATGTGGTGGGGGCATGAAATTTATAACCTAGGGAATCGGAGCCACAAGAAGTTACTCAAATCTTTAATTAAGGCTTGCAAGGAAAGTAGGCACTGATATTGGGGATCCTGAGTAAGGTCTGAGTTTTAATTTACTTCTAGATGTTTCTGCTCACTATGGCTGAAATGCTGTAAGTACCTACATGCATTAAAGTCGGGGAAAGAATCCATTTTTATTGATGCAAAAGCAGTATAACAAGATCTATTACAATTCATTGTCTTTGAAATATGTGTTATTGAAGTCAAACTTTAGAACACTTTAAATACATTTTACATAAATATTATTTTAGACACAAATAGCTAATTGTCTCAGCAGCTAACAAGAACGCCTTGTCTGTTGTTGATTCTTCTGTCTGGACTCAGCTGCCTCCCCCATGGCATTTCTGGACTACACAAAGGAAACATAAGTAATTATTAAAGAATGAAAGAGCTGCTTTGTGCATTTATGAAATTTCATAATTTTCAAAATGTTCTTGTTCATGATCTCATTTCAGTACTTTTGACACTAAGTTCCTAGCATTATTGTGCTAAATGGTGGGAGAATTTGGATTAGGATCTAAGGCTTTGTATTATTGTTCATTCTGTGTCCTGTGTCCTGCCTCCTCGGCTGTCAACTTATGCTTGTAAAAAGGTCAACTTCTAGTAACTAAGAAAAGAAAGTCATGGTACCTTCTGCCTGGGAACCTGGTGATGGAGGGCTGGAGCTTGATGTTTTTACCCGAAATGTGAACGTTTAGAATGGTTATGAGTTTAACGACTCACGAGGGATGCTCTAGACATGCCTGTATGCTACACGATTGCTTTAAGAGCTAAGACCCTTCATCCCAGACAAGGCACCTTCTGCAGATTATGCACACCAGATACTGTGTATTTGTGTGATTTTTCTTAATTAAAAGTTTTTTCCTTACATTAGTCCCTAAACAACATAAAATCTGTTCACATAGGATTTATATTCTATAGGTACTAAAAAATAATCTACAGGTAATTAAAAACATATGGTAAGATATGTAGAGCTTAGAGACAAATTCTACATATTTTTGTATGAGGCGTTTGAGCATCCTTATATTTTGTTACCTAGGGAGAGTCATAGAACATGAGAGATGATTCTGGATTGCATCATAAGCATGTATATATACTCATCTGCACACACACACAAATATATAGATACACACACACATATATTGTTCCTTCTGATCACCTTAGATGTGAATAAAGGTAATATATCATTAAAAGGAAGACACATATATTGTGGGTAGCATAAACTTGTCAACTTCCCAATCTCGTTCTTACCTCATTAAAATTGATGAGCAGTTCATGCGTTGCTGAGAAGACACCAGTGGGTCCACCCTGCTTGACAGACGTATCTGCACACAGCTACACATTTTTTTGATAGAGTGTTCTTTTCCCTTTTTTGCATTTTATTTTGCTTGAACTTGCCCCAGCCTTTCTTTAAGAGAATGAGATATTTTAAGAATATGTTTTCACATTTTCAAGTAAGAGGTAGCGGCTTGTGCATTAAAGAGGAGAGAATCACTAAGGGAGGCACACAGAAGGTGGGAGCCGAGCTAAGCCTTGGCTGAACTCAGGTCTTAAAAGCGTTGAAGACACACAGTGATCTCCTCTGGGTGTCATGTTTGAAGGACCTATAAGCAAGCTTGATTTGGTCCAACTGGTGACATTTAGCCTTTTTAACTGACCTTTTCTATGCCAGGAGGATGGAAGTCCATATGATGGGTCTTCTAGAATATATTCTATTACGCTCAATCGGTTCCACTCATCACAAGCCCCTTGAGGTTTCTAAAGGCTATAATCTGACTTCCACTCTGTCAGAGAGATGGAGCACAGGCCTCCTTCTCTGACCACCTTGGTTCTGGTCTCCTTCTCTGACACCCTGGTCCCTTCCACGGCTCCGTTCCTTCTCAACATTCAGTTGGGGAAACTGGTCAAGGCCTAGCGAATTCTTACAAAGTCCTCATTATCAGAACATGCTCCTTTACCCTCCACTGCAGCTGAAATAATTCCCCGTGCTCTCTCATCCTTGTTTCTTTGATTAAAGAACCACTTGAGCCTTTTGTGCTTCTCTCTGTACATTTCTCTATCACACACCCCAGCTGACATTCTGCTTCCCATCAGGCTGTGACATGCCTGCAGGAAGGTGGCAGCCTTCTGTCTCCCTGGCACTGTGTTTTCATTTGGGAGACTTGCATAAACACACTGTTATCTCCGTCTTTCCCTTTCCTTTCATAACTAACTGGGTTGCCTGCTCTCCCCTTGCCAGGTCTGCAGACATCAGGAGCTGCTCAGGTCTTTTCAGTTGGAACAATTTCCCTTTGGCTTATTCTTTACAGCAGAGTGGTTTCCTCTAGTGAGACTCACTCTTTGGGGTGGCCTCTTGCTTTAAGAAAAAAATTTCTGTTCCCCCTCACATTGTCCTCGAAAGAATTCCAAAGGCAGCACTCCACCCTCGTCACCGTCTGTAATTTTCCATCACAGTCTTTATTACAGGGTCATTATCATGACGGTGTATCCATGAATTCCATCAAGGACACTCTGCCCTGTGTTCTGGAAGGTCTTGGTGGAGGCACCTCACACACACCGCCCTTGGTTTCCTAGGTTAGTTCTCCCTTTGATCCACTTGATCCAAACTCCTAGGTTTCTGTGCCCTGGTCCCCTCATCTGGGAAAGGATCTTTGAAGCCTTCCATGGTGGTCTTTGCTCCTTGGAACTCCCCTGACCTGTTCCATTTGGGAACAAAACAAGTTTTGCTCCTCCAAGTGCCGTACTTTCTCAGTACCCACGTGGTTACAATTATACATACTTACTTTCCAAATTTTCTGCTAACCTGCTCCATTTAAGAACAAAACAAGCTTTGTTCCCCCAACTGTTCTACTTTTCTCAGTACCCAAGAAGTAATAATCATTCATACTTATTTTCCAATTTTCTGCTAACTTGGATCTTTCTTGTTGTTTATTCTTTGTCTCTTTGGGAGGTCCACCACCCAGCTCCCAAATAATCCATGGATATTATTATAAATATCCAGTCTTAGCTTTGCTTGTTTCTAGCCAGTTTTCTTAACTTAAATGATCTCATCTACCTGTGACCTCTGGACTTTTATCATTTGCTGTTCTATACCTCTCTTCCCTTCTTACTCTGCGGCTTGCTGGGTGGCCGGGTGGCTGGACCTTTGATGTCCTCCTCTCCTTCTCCTTTTCTTGTTCCTTCGTATCTTTTTCTCCTTCTATTTAATCTCTGCATGCCAGCCCCACCTTTCCTATCTCCACCCAGCCTCTGGCCCTTCAGCTCTTTATTAGCCCAATCAAGGTGCTTTAGACAGGCAAAGTTACAAAATTTCACAGTTAAACAAATGCAGCATTAAAGAATGCAACCCATCTTTGCATCATTAAACAAACGTTCTACAGCATAAACAAACATCTTCAGGTAATGTTCCACAGCACTTTCTGTTTTTTTTTTTTGTTTGTTTGTTTTCTCCGTTTTCTCAGCCAGTCATGATATGTTGCTTTTATTGTTAGCAATGGAGCAAAGAGAATCATGTATATTTGATAGCTCACTTTTCTTCCAGAACTCAAATTCTTGTGAGTGAGCAATTTGCGTTGTCTGAGCCAGGCTATAGAGCAGAGCGCATGATGCAAACTCTTACTGTTACTGACAGTGAAGCTCATGTGACCAGAGAGCTGAGTTGCTATACGATTGGATCTTTCTTGTCAGGTATTCAAATCATCACAGCATCCTGGTACTCTATAAGGAGTGCACCGTGGCATCCTGGCACAATATTAGTCCCATTGGGAGGGTCTGTTGATGTGCCCCCTGGTATGCTCTCTCCTGGGGAAGACGTCTCTCCCTCTCTTAGTATTCCATGGTTACATAAGGTTCTTGGCATAGGATTAAGGCTACACAAGCCTTCTAAGGCAGCTAATATTTCCATGCAAAGCATCGAATAGACTAATTTTATTTATTTTCCTATATGTATCTATGAAAGCTTAATGTTTGTAGTACAATTCAAGGAATTCATGTTTATCAAAAGAAGACATGTTTAGAAGCTATAACTAGATGCACACCTGCCTTAGTAAATACTATCCACTGAACAAGTGTCTGGGTATAGATATAAGGTCAACGGTTTCGATTGCTGCCTTTGGTCAACACTGGCGAAGAACTAGTCTTTTTCTTTTTCCTGGTAGACATAGTATGTCCGTGCTCACCATCCTCATTGCCTTCAGGACTTCTCAGTGTGTCCCTGATGCTTTTGTTTTCCAGGAGGAATGCCAGAATTATATCAGAGTGCTCTTGGTGGGCGGGGACCGGCTATTCACCTGCGGGACCAATGCTTTCACACCTGTCTGTACCATCCGCTCGGTATGTGTCTGCACTTAACCTCACAAACTTCCATCGGGAGCAACCAGACATGACCCTTTCATAGCCCCATGTAAAGGTGTCCCTGTACACCAAGGGCAAATACCCTTTGCAACATTGCAGCATTAAGTAAATGCTTAATTTGTTCATGTCTAATCAGTCATGACTGTCATGTATATGAAGGAACAGAAACTAGTTGTATATTACATACTTAGGTATACTTTGAAACTATTTCAATGTTTTCCCAATTAATGGCCTTAAGCACCAATCATAAACACACACTTCTTTCTTGTTTCCATTATGGTAGAAATATGATCAATGACTAAAGTGCTCTAGGATCACAATCCATATAGAAATAAAGTATATATAAGGTGGATAGGAGGTAGGCCAAAAATAAACAAACAAACATATCCATCCATAAGCAGAGAAAAGGCAGGACTGCTATTATAGACAGGGAGTTTCATCTTACAAGTCCCACTGTGGAGGCATGGCAGGATCATTAGACATGCATGCTCTCTTCCTAATTCAGGATATTAATTTAATCTTCCTTGAGAAATATAACTAGGAAACACCATTATGTTAATTTATGGATAGTACAACTTCTCTTAGAACCTTAACTTATCATCTCAGCTTACTGTTCATTATTTTAAAATTTATATTCAGTTATGGGATATAAAGAGAAGGCGCAGGAAGAGGGTACGTGCTGGCCACAAAGAGTTCCCCGCTTGGCATACACAGCTGTCAGCATGTGATCCCATTGTAAACACCCCATCTTGAGCATTTAAATCATGAGGTTACTTTGCCGGGAACTTTTTTAAAGGGAAGATTCTGAAACTTGAAGACTTTATGTAATTTCCCCAGGACTATGCTTCCGACAGCAGAGGACAGGGTGACCTTGCTATTCCTGTATAAACCATTTTAAGTGTCTTTTTAAACTCAGTTAAAAGTCAAGAACCAAATTGAAATTGAGCCTTGTCAAACACCAAAATACCAAACAAACAGCAACAGCTTCTCTTGTGTTTTATTAGTTGGCAACCAGAGTTTGGCAAGTCAAGGCAACACCCGACATACATGCAGCTTTCTCAAGACTAAAAGGGAGAAAAGAAGAAAAAGAAATGTGTACTACATGGTACAGAATATTGACATATGCTTATCACTAAATAGTATTTAGAACTAGGTTTTTGGTTTTTTGGTCAGGCTAATATCATGAAAATTATTCCTTATTATGATGATTTATATATCTATAAATATTAAAATTAGGTTCCTCATTGAAGTAGAATACAGTAAATACACATCCTACATCAAATCAATATGTAGAATATCCTTGTTTCATATTGTATCACTAGCATGAAGCTCTGTAGCTACAGGGATGGAATCTCTGGCCAAGATTGTGGAGAACTGTTTTCATAACGTCAGAGTTAGGAAACCTTTTCATCTCCCACACTCCAGAACGTACCTGGGACACTTGTCTAGCACAGGTATATGGTGGAGGACATTAGCACACTCAACGGGATTTCCCAAGGATAACTGGGTCCCCTCTTGTTTTCACCAATAGTTAAATAACCTGACTGAGATCCACGAGCAGATCAGTGGCATGGCACGCTGTCCTTACAGTCCCCAGCACAATTCAACAGCTCTGCTCACTGCCAGTGGGGAGCTTTATGCTGCAACAGCCATGGACTTCCCAGGGCGAGATCCAGCCATTTACAGAAGTCTGGGTTCGCTACCTCCTCTTCGAACTGCACAGTACAACTCCAAATGGCTTAATGGTAAGACCTTCATTCACCCCAGCCTCCCGCTGTTGTTTGTGATACCTGGCTTAAATATATAGTCACACTTTATAAAGAAGAGCAAAATGGTCACCTTCAATGTATAGCACAACTAGTACTGGTAATGAGTAGTATGTTCTTTAGTACTAGGAGTTGGCATGATAGCCCCAACACTATAAGCCGTGGTAATAGGTCTATATTGTCAGCTGGTGCTGACAAGAACACTCATCCGTGTTACGCTGTTTCTCCCTATGTTGCTGTTTGAAATCTAGGAAATTGAATGCTATGCCATAGATGCATGTAGGCTCATGTGTTTTTCTTTTTCGTTTTTTTTTTTTTTTTTTTGGTTTTTCGAGACAGGGTTTCTCTGTGGCTTTGGAGCCTGTCCTGGAACTAGCTCTGTAGACCAGGCTGGTCTCGAACTCACAGAGATCCGCCTGCCTCTGCCTCCCGAGTGCTGGGATTAAAGGCGTGCACCACCACCGCCCGGCTCATGTGTTTTTCTTAATGTCTACTTGATGAATTGAACAAGAAATTAGTACTATCTCATGACATTTTCAGACAGCATAAAGAACCCATTTGCCTAGAAGTAACTCCAAATAATTTGACAATCTTAAAAATGTCATTAGTGTGCGTGTCTATCATTTGGGGGCAAGCATCTTCAGAGTTTATTGCAAGGTCTTGAGAGTTCATGGGGACCCAAGTCTTGTCGCTTTAGATTCTGCAAGGCAAAGCCTGACACATTGGTCATCCTCTCCACTTCAGATGCAGAATCATCACTGTAACTTCAGACTTCTTTCCAGATGTGGCAGTGTCCCCTGGAAGACATACCAGGCTTGTGTCTACTTCTCTTTTATAGAGCTGGAAACTGACAGAAAGTATCAGTCCATTGCAAGCAAGAAACAATTACCTGTTAACTAAATAGCCAGAGAATGAAGAGAGCAGCTGCACAAATGTGAGTTGCTAGGTGAAAGCCCGGGGTGCTAGGGAAAGCCATCTCTGTGTATGTGAGTGTGTTCACACTCACAAGGGGGTGTCTAGCACACACGATAATCCATCACCTCAGGCTTCATGTGACTGTTGTCACAAAGGTGGAATCTTGGCTTTGCTAGTATAATACTTGTTTTGATATGTCATGATCTACAAAGATTTAGTGGTCTTATTCCCATCACAAACTGTATATGTCCTTCTCCTATCCTGATGCTACTCGTGTGCTCAGATCATTCTTTATTATGGGAAAGGCATTGTCTTTGCGGAGGTTATTTAGTGTCATTTGTGATCTCTGTCCATTAGAGCCTAGTCATTCTTTCCCCCTCTATAAGTTAATAAAAATAAATACATATATTCTCAAATGTTGCCCAAGGGCAACTATCTCCTTTTGAGGACTATTGGCTTTTACTCAGGAATGTCAAACATTCATCTATCTGTATATCTTTATGTATCTCTCATCCACCAGTCATCTGTCCATCCATCACCTTTCCATCATCCATCATCTGCCTGCCATTTATCTCTCATAGGTAATTGCTGAATAATGCTGTCAAACCGAGCATCCTAGTTTCCCTTTGGAACTCCCTCCTAGGAAAGCCACTCTATCATCTCTGTGCCTCTAGGAATTTGGCTAACTGTACTGTTTCCAAAGGGCAACGTGAATGGTTTTCTGAACTGAGAAGCAACTAGATTTCCCATATTAACACCTCTTCTTTTGAACACACTTCAGTTTAACCCACCTACTCCCTATAGATAGCCCCCTATTGTCTCTGAAGCCTTTGTTGTGGTACCTTAAAGTTGCTTCCCTATATAATGGCAATTTTCACTAGCTGGAGAGAGTTGAAAATCAACTAACTTTTTTTCTACTGGCCAGCTGCTTCAATTTAGTCTTTCTTCAAACATGCTCTTCTCTGTGAACTGTCATCCTGACCACATTATTTAAAAATTGCTTCCTGGGCTGTCTAGTCCTCATGACCCTTTACTGTGAGTTTTACCCCTAGCTATTATAATATTTTATCGTTTAGCTTCCAGCTTTCAACAAAAGGGGCATGTGCCAATCATTGGAGTTTGTCTCTCTTGTGTAATGGTTTATTTTACACTTGCCGAGGTATATAATGAGTGTTTGGATAAATGAATTAATGGGTGCCATAGTCTATGTCCTAGAATTCACAGATTAAAATCGTATTCCTCTCCCCCATGTGAAATATCTGGAGGATGACTGGGGGTCCTGAAGGTGGGGTTCTCATGACAGTATTGGTGCCCTCTCAGGAGGCTACAATGCAGAGAGCTGTCTAACCTCCTCCATCACGTGAGATCTTGTGAACTTGGAAATAAGCCTTCACCTATCATGAAGTATGCTAGTAGCTTGGCTGGTAGTGTTTCGATCCATGCATTTGGGAAACAAATTTCTGTTCTTTATAATAAGCCCCTTGGTGTTTTTGCCATAGCAACATGAACAGACTAGAAAAATAAGTAAAATGGAAATTGACTGTTTTGTTTCCCTCATTAGTTTGTGAATTTCTTGAGGGCAAGGGTTAGGTGGGAGCCATGTTTTAGATTTAGTACCTTAGGCTTAGTCAGTGCTTGTTAAATGAGTAGAAGATAAGAATATTTCATAAATAGAAGAAAGAATGACTATTACATAGGCAACATATCTCAGCTGAAGCCTAGAATCATTAAAAAAAAAACAAAGAAACTGAAAACAACAACAAAGGCAAGACTCATATATTTGAGAGTGGCTCAGGTACAAACATTTGAAGATGCTCCTTTTCACCCCATCATGTCTGCCCTGCTTCAGTCATTACGTCTTCACTAATCAAATGCAGTATAATTGGCTGAATAGCAGTATGCAGGCATCTGGAGCATTAAATTGTGTGTTTGATGGTGAATATAATTTTCAAGACCAGATTTTTTCCTCTGTGCCAAAATTACTCTTAAAACAAATTTATGTATTTAGAGAAATTTCTTAACAGCAATGCATTAAAATATTAATCATTTCTAACCCTTATTAAATGATTACTGTGAGACAGAGCAATAAATGTTTAATAGCCAAAGCTTAAAATAGAAGCTATAAAGCCTGCCTTCATGAAAGTGACAGTCAAATTGGGGAAACAGTAAACCCGTGAAAAACAAAAGCAAAGAGTATGTCCAAAAGAACACCATGCAATTGTTTGTAAACTGAGGCAATTGTGCATTTGCTTAGCTTGGTACCTCTCTGAGAACATGGAAAGTAAACTCCTGAGTGGACTTTTAAAAGTTCCCATGAAGCTCAGTGTGGATGTTATCTATTAACACTCAGGGGCTTGCTGGTTTTCCTCCTCTGGGGAGCCATTTCCCTGCCACCTTTGGTGGACACACAAATTCTTGAGTGACCTCGAATCTGAGCTTCTATGACTGGTTGCCTCTGTAGGACTCACCTGAGATCACAAACATCCTCATAGTTAAAGTATCATGTTCTGTGAGGTGTCAAGTTTCTAGTCCAGAAAACGTTTTTGGTGACCATCTTGAACCATCCTGGTTTCATATCTGTCTATCTTGTTTCCATTGTGCTAGCTCTCTGATATATCCAAGCCTTCAGGAGACCAATTGGAGACTTTAAAGATAGTAATTAAATTTTAATAAGTAAAGATTGGAGGAAGAAGATTCCTGTACACATGTCAAAGGGTAGTAGTTATTGCCTACCCCTGAAATGGATTGGTGCCTGCCCTGTAAGGTCCGTGCTGGCTCCTGGTAGCCAGTGTGGCTACACTGGGCTCCATTCTGGGAACAATGAGGGTCTGGCTCATAGTGATTATACAGTGAAGTGTTCCAAATGATGTAGGTTCCCCTCTGTATGCTGTAAATACCACTGGTTAATAAAGAAACTGTCTTGAGCCCATGATAGGGTAGAAAGGAGCTGGGTGGGGAAGACTAAACTGAATGCTGGGGAAAAGAGGGACAGAGTCAGAAGTCATGCAGCCCCACCAGAGAAAGATGCTGGAACTTTACCAGGTAAGCCACTGCCACATGGTGATACACAGATTAATGGAAATGTGTTAAATTAATATGTAAGAACTAGCCAATAAGAAGCTAGAGCTAATGGGCCAATCAGTGATTTAAATAATATAGTTTCTATGTGATTGTTTTGGGGCTGAGGAGCTGGGAACCAACAAGTAGTCTCCTTACTACATCCAATGAGGAAAATACTTTGGCTTTTTAGATTGGCATCACTGACTGCAGCTAAGACCTGGATAGAGGTGGGCGGTCCTTGGGCTTCCCACTGGTCAGGGAACCCTGATTGCTCTTCGAGCAGATGAGGGAGGGGGACTTGATCGGGGGAGGGGGAGGGAAATGGGAAGCAGTTGCGAGGAGGAGGCAGAAATCCTTAATAAATAAATAAATTTAAAAAAAAACACATGCCAAATAAGGAATACGAAAGCAAAGAGGGCTTGGTGGGTAAAATTAAATGAAAAACCAAGTTATTGTCAAGGGAAAGGAAAACACTGTAAAACAAATATGAAGACAGATTCCATGGTCACCTTTATAGTTTTTAATATATGCCTAGGGAAATGTTTAAAATGGACCTTGCTGTGAACAGGGCTCTCTCTTTAGCCATATGACTCCTGAACCTTAAACTGGGTAGGGCACCATGACAGGGTCAGAAAATATACCACATATGTGATATAGTACAGTACAATGAATTTTTTTAATGTTCATGCCTAATCTTATTCATCAGAAAGATGTATCAGGATGAATGTGCTGTATAGAATCCATTTGTTTTGGAAATTCTTGCAAATTATATATGCTTATCCCTTTAACATACCAAAATATCTTAATAAATTCTCATTCTGCACAGTCTGCCTGTTGGTACGCTTGCTGCAGACTAGTTACCGTGCAAGGTACGTGGGAGAATTGCAAAGGCTGAGTAGACACTCCAGTTGGAAGGCACACCCCATATCCATCTCACTGACAGTCTTCCCTGCAGACATCCAAAGGAGATCCTGGTCCTCAATGTCCAGGTGACACCTGAACCA